AGTTACAGTTTTACTGTATTGACAGATATGTAACCTCATCTCTCAGTGGTTGTAACCATTATCTTTTCCATATTAACATCAATGAAATGTCTTGTTAAAAATTATACAACATATTATTGATCATGATTTTGATACCAAAACAGTTGAAAAGGACATTAAGATTATGGGATTATGTCTCAAACAGATGGTAGATGGAAAGGCTGTTCAATTAGTTTACAGAAAATGACAAAAGGACAGGCATTTTGAAAATTTGTCAAAAGGACACCAGCTATGTTTGTCATAGTTGAGAGGCCTTTGGAAAATATTTAGGAATGAAAATTTACATAGAGAACTTAAAACTAAAGAACGTCAGGTCTTAATTATCAAACATATTCATCACATTCTCAGATATAGATTAAACCTCTTTTTTTTGGGCTAGAAGAGACAGGTATTTTACTTTGATTCATGCAAATAAACTTGGGTAAGTACTTAAAAATTTAATTAATATAAATGTTTCAATTTTAAATAAGAATAAATAAGATGTATTACCGAAGGATGGTTTAGAATGTATCTCTTGAAGGTTGTAAAATTCTTACATTCCCTTTTAGATGTAGTCCTTTTGTTTCCCAAACCCCTTAAATAGGGGTTTTTCCCTTTGTGACTCCAATAGAGGAGGATTTCTGCCCCCCCCCCCCCCACACACACACATTTTTAGTTTCATTTTTTTTTTCTTACCTCACTGTAAATAAGCAGAAATTTAGTATTTTCTAAATCAAACTTTGTGAATAGAATTTAATTTATGGAATTTATTAAATAATTTTATTTTAGTGAGAAACTGTTTTTGTGACACTTCTATAAAGAAAAATAATCCATTTTCATGAACAATTTTTTTGAAGCATTTAATGCCAAGAGAAATCTGTATACTGGATTATTCTTAAGATGTCCCATACTCTTAGTTATTTAAGTTTTAAAAACACTTTCCCTATTGAAAATAAATTGTAAAACATTATAAAAGTATTATCTGTTAACTTTCTAATATCTCTAACTCTCTAAAATGTGATTGATAAAATAAATCAGTACAGTTGAAAGCAAATTGGTTGATAAATTTCAGCATATTTTAAGCTCTACAATTTGTTTTTACAAATGAAAAATTTTGAAGTCCTTTTCATATATTTTTTATGGCTGATAGACTGATGCTACAAATTATTCACATATTCATGCCATACATAAACTAGACAATTATTCTACACCTGACTCATAAAGAAGATTAAAAATATTTGTTACAAACTGGGATATATTATTGTGATTATATGATAAAACACGCATATTAATGGGCAATTTAGTTTTTTTAGACTCAGGATAAGACTAGACTTTATTCTTTCAAATGGGTAAACCATATGTCAACATATGCTAATCAAGACACATGGTAGTATGTCGTGTGTTATTAACAGAAGTGCTAGCTTAGCAATTTTCCTCTTTCTTTAGCTCGGACTGTGATAATCTAAACTATCACACATGCTCTACTAGACTCTTATTTCACATACTAAATTTCAAGGCAATCCATTAACCCTCTCTGCTCAGGCATCATTTACTGCACATGACACAATGTTTTAGTGACTTACATTCAAAATTTTATTAAATCACTTTTTGTTTGTTATACCAATTAGTATAGCATAAAATCATAGCTAATAATCCATATTTTAATAGTATATAAGTTTAAAGTTCTTAATTTTATAATGCAAAATGTTAAAAAATCCTGAATGTCCCCTAATGTGAGAAATGTGACATTTTTTTCTCTAGGTATCCTTCCTCCTTTATTTTATTCACCACCCCTCCAATAAGTATGAAATCGTAATCACTCAGACAAACCATAATTTTTATAGCCTTGAATTTTGTTTGGTTACAGAGCTATGAAATAGAAAATCAGACCCCTCTTGCCACATCCAGTTTGTCACATCCTCTCTTTCAGAATTTGTTACTGGTTCTCTCTTACATTTAATTCTATATTAAAAGAAAGAAAACGATTAGCTGGGATGAATTTGTAACGGCACTTGTCACATAGTTAGAAAGCCAGAAAAATTGGGATAGTTATGGGAAATTTCTGATTTTTGCATGCTATTATTCTATGTTCTTTGGTGTGTTATTTAATCAAATAAAAATTATTTAGTGCATTACTACCATTAATATAAAAAAGTAGGGTTAAGTGTCGTTGACAGTTGTTTATTCTTTATTTATTATTATAAAAGTAACTAAAATGTAAAAATAGGGATCTATTTAGGTTAGTTAAGGTTAGATTAGGTAATATAAATAATAATAATATAATATAAATGTTTTATGAGGCACACATACAAGCAGCTCATGGGTAAATTAATTTGATAATGTAATTTGAGCTGTGTGTTTCCTAAGTGATTTACAACTTATAATGGAATGAATAGTAGACACAGTTCAAAGGGCAATTTAAGGGCATTAAAACAAAATTAAAAAATAAATAGATGTGTACTATAATAAGTTTAAAGCTACTTAGGAGAAACGATTTAGTGTCACAATTTGAAGTCATTCTAGAAAGAAAAAAGGTAATTTAGATTTCTTTTTTTTTTGGTGGTTATAAGGTCGGTCAAATTAACCAACCTTATATAGCATTAGGGTTGAGAAAGTAACAGATAAAATAAAGTTTTGCTGAAAAAACATTTGAAATGTTTGTAGGAGGTTTTAGAGATTATACAAATGAAATTTGAGATTTTTGAGATGAAGAAAACTGTTTTTAATCTTAACATAAATATCAATCACCTTGCACACGAACTACTAACAAAAACACTCTGTACTTGGACAAATCTTTTATTAGCTTATTAAAAATACTTCACTGAAAAAATGATTTTTTGTATGTGAGAGACTTGTATAATGTTTACTGAAAGTGTGCCAAATTTTGTGAAGATATACTATATTAAAAGTTAGTAGTATCAAAACTATAAAGATTTTAAATGAGTACAAAGACCAATCTCATGTTGAAAGAGTTAAGAAATATATGAAATATAAAATATTAAATTTTTATAGAATTTCTTAATTTTTTTTCTCTTATTTTTCCTCGCACTGAAAGTACAGAAACTTTATTTGATAGAAAAACATACTTAACTTTCATGGATTTTTTCAAATTTGGTAAACTGATAGATTATTACAACCTACAATTAAATGTGAAATTTGGTATAAATATGAGCCACATGTGCAAAGTTATTCCACAAAAACTGCTCAATTTTGACCAAACTTTTAGTGCATGCCTACACAAAAAGTCACATGAGCTGTCAGTCGAAACTTTTTACTTCAGCTTCAACTAAGAGTAAAGGTGGACTTATTTTAATTCTTTGTCATTTGGATTAATGACAGCTGGTATAGAGTAGCAAAACTATAGGTTGAAAGCATGTGCAAATACATAAGTACTGGTTAGGCCAAGCAAACTAGATTAGCAGTTTCTAGCTCAAGTTTTCAATGGAATCATACAGGTGGACATTTATTATTCATTTAAACTTTTAAGCACAAATTTGCTAACTCTTATGACATTCTCCTAATTGAAGAGTGTTTAGCATCACGTGATATTAGCTTAAGCAATTAGCATAAATAATGATGTTTGATATAACTGTACAGAATGCATGCAAATTATGACAATAAACTGTTAATCTAATTTCCATGGTGTTACTATAAAGGATGTTACTAACACTATTTTGGAGAGAAAAATTACCACCATATACTTTAAAGAATGTGGTTGGTTCTGTAAAGTATAGGTCTATTCTAGTCAATAGGGTTGCGATCTTAAAGTTAATGTTGGTTACTATCGAGTGTCACTTGCTTGCTGTGGTTTGTTGGTGTGTATTGACAAAAAGTCATGATATCTGATCAAAAACACCTTATGTGTGAAAAAAAGTGTCAGCCTAAAAAGGATTGACCTTGCCTAGCTAACTAATGAATGAGTACTTGCTTAAAATTCTTATTAATTCTATAAGTGTAGCTACCAGTTTTTATTTCATTCTTTTAAGTCACATGCTCAATCCTTTTTTTTTGGCCATACTTTTTTTACACCTAAGGTCTTTTTGATTAGATCTAAAATTACATAGCATGTTGTTTGGATGATAAGGTAAGCTGGTAATCTGTGGTTTTAAGTTGTCAAAACTCAAATAAAGTACATCCTGTGAGAACAGTTACTTAAGTTGTAGAAAAATGATAAGAATTACAACATGCAGTTGAATTTTGAAGGTTTTGTAAATTTTTATTCTTTTAAACTCAGGTCCGACAAGCTATCGAAAATCTACATAGTGGAATGTTTAATAGGGTTGTGGAAGCAGAGAATGGAACTACATCCTCTGAACCTCCCTCTGAAACTCAATCAGAATCAGAGGATTGTCCTGAGCACAATACAAATGCAGAACATAGTAATGGTTCAACAGCCTCTCGAAAAGCATCCATAGTATGAGTAGAAGAACGTGTTGTAAGCTATTTAATTAGGAAATGCCTTATTAGTATGTTTTATGTAAGTTTCAGTTGTATTGTTAGAAGGCTATTGTTCCACCATGAACTAGAAAATATTTACACAAGCTTCAAACATCATAGGAATAAAACCAAATTTCAAACTGTAGATGTAATACATGATCATGCATTGTTACTTAATTCCATGTTTTGAAGTTTGGATATTTTGATTTAGAAAGGCTTAGGTTAGAAGACATCAAAACAATTCCAATAAGATTTTTAGAATTTTTTTTTCATTTCTTTTACTTTTAAGTTTTTAGAAACCTTTTAGTGAATATTTAATTATCAATGCTCTAAAATGTTGATTTGTGTCTTGTATCATAAAATTTCCAGAAAATGTATGAAAGTACTGCTAGGAATAAGGTTAACTAAACAGATAAAAACAAAATTCAAAACTGATTTATGTATACAAGATTGTTTTGATTTAATTCAAGTTTTCATAGGAGATGGGAAAAACATAGGTTCAGTTATTTGGTAAACCATGATAATGTGAGCTCATGGAAAGGATTAAATCATAATGCAAGCTCATTATGAAGAAATTTTTATCTTGTTTGAAACTAAATCATAATTTCAAATATTTATATATTTAAAACATATATTGAAACTATAACCTGAACATTTCTTTTGTCCAAATCCAATTTAGAGTTTTATCTTTATGAAATCAATAATACAGTGATAATTCTATCAAAAAGTAGGTATGTATTTGAAGAGTTCTTTTTTTTTTTTTCTTTTAGAACATGATTTATTTTATTCTGCAAGAAAAAGGCATTTGTTAAACAAGGTGATATAATTTCCAGGTGTGCTTTTATTTTATTATACAAAAAAAGGCATCAACAATTTCCTTGTATTTATTGAACAAGGTGAAAAGTTTTTCATGTTTTACTCAATTGTGATAAAAACGAAATAAAGTTTTTATTTAATTTTTACAATATGTTTGAAGTTTGTCAAATTTATTTTTTGTATCACGTTTTTTTTTAATCATTAATTATTTTAATTCCATAATTCTATGTAGGTTAAGTGCTATTGTTTAATATTTTGGATGTAAGAGTGAGAGTTCAGTAATATTATTCTGTGTAGGTTAAGTGTTATTGTTTAATATTTTGGATGTAAGAGTGATAGTTCAGTGATATTATTCTGTGTAGGTTAAGTGCTATTGTTTAATATTTTGGATGTAAGAGTGAGAGTTCAGTAATATTATTCTGTGTAGGTTAAGTGCTATTGTTTAATATTTTGGATGTAAGAGTGAGAGTTCAGTAATATTATTCTGTGTAGGTTAAGTGTTATTGTTTAATATTTTGGATGTAAGAGTGAGAGTTCAGTAATATTATGCAGTAGTTTAAATATAGAAGTTTATTAGTGGTATTATAAAAACAAAATTACAAGTTTAGGAGAGAATGAGTTATGTTGTGAAGTATTTGGAATTTAGATTATCAGTATGATCTTACAGGTTTACAAATGAGCATTAAGTGATGTGTAGTATATCAGAGTTAGTAGTAGGAGCTAAGTAATTTGTAGTAGTTTAGATTTAGGAGTAGAAGCTATATAATACATAATTAATGTTGCATTTTGGAGTACTTTCATTAACCACCTCCCAAAAAACGTACATCAAGTATAATAGTTAAACGAACCACCTGAACATCACGTTAGTGTAGCCTATATAATGTGTAAAGTTTAGTATGCTCTAATCCCTTATAGTGATGGCACATGATGAGACACACATTAAGCACGAGACGCACATTAAGCACGTAATGCTGTTTGAATACAAGAAAGGAAACAACTCCTCTCTAGCCACAAAGAACATCAAAGAAGTTTATGGAAATATTTTAAATGTTCGTAATTGTCAATGATGATTCAGTAAATTTCATTTAGGTGACTTTAGCCTTAAAAACTGTTATGGCAGGGGCCGACATGTTGGAATTGATATTGATGCTCTGAAGACTTGTTGAGTCTATCCCAAAGCAACACACTTGTGAAATGGCCCTGAAATTGCCTGTCTCTCATGAAACAATACGTAAACATCTAAAGAATATGGGAAAACTCCATAAAGAATGTGTTTGGGTGCCTCACGAACTCTCTGATGATCATCGCTTCCAACGTGTGGATGTTGCTTTGTCTCTTTTAGCACATAATGCACGTGAACCATTTTTGGACAGAATTATCACCGGTGATGAAAAATGGATTCTCTATGCGAATATTAAATGCCAAAAACAATGGCTCAGTCCTAGACAAAAATCACTTCTGACTCCAAAACCTGGACTCCATCCGCAGAAAATGATGCTTTGAATTTGGTGGGACATCAAAGGAGTAATTAATTTCAAATTCCTCAATACACAGCGTACTATCAATGCAGAGATCTATAGTCAGCAACTGGAACGTTTAAATCAAGCCCTTCATCAGAAACGCCCTTCACTCGTCAATCGGAGAGGTGTTCTTCTCCACGACAATGCACATTCACATGTGGCACGTTTGTCAAAACACAAGATTATGGAGTTAGGTTGGGAAGTTCTCCCCACCCACCATATTCTCCAGATGTGCCACCATCAGATTACTATCTTTTGTGTTCGCTGCAAAACCACTTTTAATGGGAAAACGTGGAAGGTGTTAAAGAGGACATTGACAATTTTTTTGCTTCAAAGCCAAGTGATTTCTTTCATCAGGGCATTAACAATCTGATTGTAAGATGGAAAAGCATCATCGATAAGAATGGAGCTTATTTCATTTAATAAATGTTTTGTTTTGATATATAAGTTGTTCATTTTTTTCATCTAAAAAAACGCTACATTAATATTTTGACGACCTAATATATATCAGACTTAGTAGGATCAATAATCCAGAGTTAGGAGTAGCAGCTGTTGTGCATTCTTTCAGAATTAGGAGTAGAGCTATATAATGTGTGGTATTTTAATTTTAGAAGAGAGGTAAATAATGTGTAGTATTTTAATTTTAGAAGAGAGGTAAATAATTTGTAGTATTTTAATTTTAGGTGAGAGGTAAATTTACCTCTCACCTAAAATTAAAATACTACACGTTATTAACGTGTAGTATTTTAATTTTAGAA